ACCACAAAACAAGCAATATACTTCCTAACCAACACACATAAACATGATGAATTTACCGCAATCATGCAACCGATTACATCATAACGGGTTTCGATAACATTCAACTACTCAAGCTATCATAAATGAAACAACAACTTCGTGATAATACAAGAGTGACCTTCTCTCTACTCTAACCACTTTTGGTTCAGTTTAGAAAAGTTTCAGTTCTCAAACTTTCAGTTCAAGTTCCCATTAGCTACATCATTGGCGTTACGTAAGCCATGTGACATAGATTAATGTAGAAATGGCACAGTCCAGAAAAGTTATTATTTTTAAAATAGAGAGGACATACCAAATTAAAAATGAAGATGATTTACAAATTTTTTAGCTTACACACACATATGTATATATATATATTTTTTAAATCTTAAATTAACAGTTCATTTATATGTCTTTCTTCATATTTCAGTCTTTCTCTAAATTGTATTTTTAAAACTATCTTCAGTAAAAAAAAGTTTCTTTTAGATATGTTTTTTTATATTGAATATCCTTACAACCAAGGAATAAAATTAAACTTTTAAGTATGTTCTTTTGCATCAAAATCAAATACATAGAATACCATAACGTTTATATCTCCACAAATATTAAACTTTTAAAGCTCCTTTTTATTTCTTTGAAGCTAAAAATTCATTTAATTTTCACTATAATAATAAAATTAAAAAAAGGGGCAAATTATATCTTCCTTACATTATGTTCCGTTGATAAATATGCAAACTTACATATCCATTTCAATAATCCATCTAGCAATAGCATCTGTTCAGAAAGACCATAAATGAACATATGTACATACCCATGCAAACTAATATGGAACAAGAAGAAACCTCAATTTGCCACTGTTCATGGCAAATTATACAAAAAATAATCAGGTAATTTATTTTCATATACCGTGTGCAATCTCGATTCTTTCAGCGGGCCTTGTGAGGTATGCGCAAGAAACACCATTATGTCACGTCTATGCACAGTTAGTGGACTTTGGAAAGCTTTATGGTGATGTACAAGCATGAAAATTACTGGTAAACAGTCATGTTACATATAGTATTTCTATGAAAGTTATCTTATACAGCTCTTTACAACAAGTGCAGGTTTAATCCTAGTATCCGGGCACAAGGGATTTGGCACTTTATCATGAGCATAAATGAGATATCAATGAGTATTAAACAGAGCATTTTGTTGTTGGTGATAATTTTCAAAATCATGCAAGGCTGCACCGTATACTAGGATTTTACACAAGTGCAAAATAATTTCATTATGCTAATTTCAATAATAAATTTCAATGTTAGAAAATAACATATACACTACTTTGAAACCTCGTCTCTTTTGTGAATAAATAAAAGTTATTAATTTTTCTTTTAATCTAGTAAGATTGTTTATAACACAAAACTCTTTTCATTTTCTTTGGTCTATTCCAAAGTTAAAATCAAAATTTCTTTTAAAATTTTTGCTTGGCACCACTTCTATTTGTTTACCTGAGGCACTCACCCTAGTCCCTATTCTGAGACCACGTACAGAGTTTTTCTAGTGGAAATACAGATTGACACTTATTCCGGTACTGTTATGTTATCATGTGACCGGGTCCAGAAATGCATGTATGCATGCATAAATGGATGGATATGTTCATGTATGTACATACAAATGTGCTTGTGTACCCATATATATATACACACATACACATGTACATACACACACTTCTGAGTCCAGGTCTGATAACAGAAGATTACCCTTATTTCTTATAATACATTCTGAAATACTAATAACACTGCAATTACCAATAAATTCTGCTCTGAAGTAGTGAACTGGATAATTTTGAACCGGATAGTTTTCAAAACATAATTTAAAAATACATTATTATTTTCATCTGTCAAGCAAATTTTTGTCAAATGAAGAAAATGTTCGTAAGTTGTTGATCAGTAATAAGAATACATTTTTTACGTCAATGAACTGATGCCACAATTCAAACAAGCCATTTTTAGCAGGCAAAAAAACTGTTTAAAGGAACTTGCACGGTATATAAACACTATACATACTTATTTATCCCAGTTAGTAAAGCCAAAAAAAACCTTTTTTTAATATAGTTATTCCTACATTTAAGCATACTAAACATGTTTCTCAAGAAACAATTGTCTGTAAACATTAAAAAAGATCTATCTCCTTAAGTATCTTAAAGCGAAATATTTTTTTAATACAAGTCTTACATTTACCGAAAAGAAATAGTATAACTAAATTAACACATTTCTGATAATCAAACGTTATGCAAAAAGAATTTAAACAACAGCGAATAAATAAAAAGAAACCGTAACATTATAAAGTACCTCATTTCTAGTTGGTCTTAGAGCATCAGTTATTACTTTCCATGCAGACGACACAGAGTTTATCTCCATGTCATCAAAGCGCGAAACGTATATAAAAAACATACAATATGTGTTTTTCAAATAACTGTTTCGTGGTTGCCATTCAAAAGTATACTAATGGTAAAATAGGAACAGAAATAATGCACATTTTGCACTTCCAGAATACTTATGAACACATAATTTGTTTTTAAATACCAACTTTGTATCCAAAATAATAATATGCAACATTAAAGTTAAATCCATTCCATGCTTCTACTTATGATAGCCCAGCCATAAGAACTGCCAATGGCTGCAACAATTCTTTAAAAAAAATGTGGAAGGGAAAAGTTGGGAGGGAAAAGGGAAAATAAAGGCTGTTGAGGAGCGAAGGATTATCAAAGAAATTTATGTAGTTATGTAGCTATTTAAATGTTATGTAGTTAACAGTTATGTTCTCTGTTTAAGTTTAATACGAAAAATTATGTTGAAGTTAAATAAACAACGCGGTTTCTATTCATCTTTAAACATTATTAGAAAAAGGAAATTTCAAGTTTTCTCTCTTCTATATCAAGAAGAACGTAATATAAATATAAGTGATAAAGTGCCAGGAAAGTGGGAGACAAAAATAAAATTTTGGATGAGAAAATACGAAGATTTATTTGGAATAACGAAGTTGTCAGAAGAGCATGAAAAAGTCTTAGAAGTAAGTGAAGTTTCAAAAAGTTGCATTTTTCTCCCTCCTCAGAATTAAGGGTAAAAGTTTACAACTAGGTGCCTCTTATTTATTCGCGATTCTTTTTTGACGCCAAGATCGGCGCCAGGAAGACACAATTGCAAGATGGGCGGTATACAAAACCAAAATAAGAAGTCAAAGAATTGCATAAACTTGTCATTTACAAGCGATTGCTTTCCTTAAAAAAACATTCCAGAATTGCCAAACTAGGCATTGTGCCATGTTAAATTGTCCTGTACACTCATCTATTTTTCTTTTTAAAAAAATTAGGAAGAAAAGCAAAGTTAAACATCATAGTAAACAGAAATGAGATTCATCGCCAAAATTTTACAAAAAATTGTTGCTAATCGAAGGGGCACCCAATTCTACACTAGAGCCGAATTAAGTAAATAAATAAGAGTTAAAATGGTTTAAAATGACAGCCTATAACGTAAATGTGAAATCTATGACTCTTATTAACTGCAGTGTGCTTTAGTATACAGCTAGATTTAACCCAGCAATTAACCAAAGTGACCTTCACTCCTTGGCAAACGTCTCGGAATATCGTCAAATTGATTATAAATAATTGTATTAGGTATTCCATCTCTCCCGCAGAACTTCATTATTCCTGGATTTACAGCAAGAATGATTGTCTGAGTGAAGATATTGAATTTGGGAAATTTAATTCCACATAGATGGAATTTGAAAGTAATTACTATTGGCATATTCACAGTTTATTTCTTGTCTCAGTTATTTAATTGGAAGCAAAAGTGTGGCAGTAACCTAAATATTCTGGAATTTAGGTGGAAGTCTCCATTAACTTTCACAATAATTGGGAAAATATGGAAGTACCATAAACTCTGGCCCATAATTTGATTAAAATTTCTGATTTCTATCCCAGATTAACTTTTGCTTTTATTAAGTAAAATTAACAGGAATCAGCAGTTAGAGTAGATTTAAGGGTGCCCCTTGGGTTATCGCTGAGTTGTTTCATTTATCGCCAAGTCGTTCTGTCATTTATGGTAACCTGAGCAGCTGAATTCTATGGAAACTCTTATAATGTAATTGGCTGTTTGACTGCTGTGAATTTGAATGATGGAAAAATATTTGGAAAGGCTTGTTTATGTGTTGGATTTTGGATAAGATGTATGTTATTTGAGGATTTACATGGTAAAATAGCTAAAATGAGGTTAATTTGAAGTTTCTGTACGATTTCGAACGAAAGGGAAAAAACATTAATTGACTGGTTGTTTAAATGAAGGTTTACTTAGTAGTCATTATGAGTGTCCTGCTTGTAGGAAGAAAAGTGTATGTTTGAACGTCAGAGGCTCCTCTTTTTAAGATTAAGGTGAGAACCAAACACTGATCTTACTAATGACATCATTTCACCTTGAATTTCTTAGCGAAGAAAATTCATCAGCTAGTTCATTCATTCAGAATTCTTAGAGTGGTTTGACTCATAATTTCTCTTTCTTTCCCAGGTAAGCAGAACTTCTTCCATGAGGCAGCTTTCCAGAAATTAGAAAATTCCCAAATTCTTTTTTTCATTCTTACTAAACTCTCCAAAGCACCCGATTTAGCTTCCAGCTTATCATATAAAGCTGTCGAATCAGCTTTGGTTTGTCCAGATACGTCAATCTTCATCATTCATTACCTGGAAGATGCTTAATAAATCACAAATGTGAATGTGGACCAGCAAATTGTCTGTTCCAAATCATTCTTTCAACTGTTCAATGGCCTTTGAGTAATTCTCTGTTGTTGCTGAAAAACTCTGAATTAGACATTCTGCTTTCGATTTTAACTCCACAGACTGCTTCAGATATTGCACCTTATCTACATCAATTAGAGACTTGTCTTCATGAATCTTCTGAAATGCGCTCCAGAAGCGCAAATAATCTTTTGGGTCATTCGAAAATTTCTTCAGCTCAATTTTCAGTAATTTAAATTTTTTCATTTCTAGCTGCAGAAGCTTTTTGCAGTCGCTTTTACAGTTTTCTGCAAATTTCTGCATGCCCGTCTCTGTAGGTTTTAGCTTCTTCAAAATCATCAGTGTACAGTTTCCTACCATATTCAATTTTCAGTAAACTTCAGTGACTGACAATGTTCAAGTCTCTGGAACTTATCAATAAGTTGCAGCATTAAAATGGAAACTTTATTTATATCTATAACTTCTTTAACCAAATCATTTTCAACTTTCTACAGGCTGAGAGTAAATGACTTTCTCTGTCCCTTTTGTTGTGCCTTTAATGCAGTTAAATCCATTCAAAACACCAATTCTGCTGGAAGTACCACTTTTTTTGATGAAAAAGAAAAGCCTTAAATTGATTCCTAGGTTTGCATCTGCCTGAGGGTATCACAAAAGTGAAGTTCAGCATAACTAATATCTTTAATTGAATTTATTTTTTCCCATTTGTTGATGGGTCCTTAATTTTTTTTTCATTAATGGTCCTTAAAAGTATTTAATTTCCATATGCAGAAATGTGTACAAACCCTGAAAGAGCTGTAGTTTTAAGCTGTCGGACAGCTGCAGTTTAGCCATACCTATTAAACAATATGAACTAATCACTGAGGATTTTTTCCTTTCTATTTGTAATTTTCAAGCATAATGTCATTATAAAAATGACTAAAATAAATAAATAAAAGCTGATTGGCAGCCAGTCAGTCAACTATTATTTTATTAAAGTTTCATTATATTTCTTTGGCTTAATTAATTATTCATTATGTTAATGAAGTAAAGAATGATCATTTTATAGGCTCAAGAAAAACTCCAAAATACCCAGGAGAAACGTCGTGAAGTGCAAGAAGAAATATTCTTTGTTCAAAAGAAGTTACAAGAAATGCAGGATATATTGCATAAAACATCCATGGGTGATGACATGTATATTTCTGTTGTTACACAGGTAGAAGTTCATTTTTTCTTTTCATGTATCTAATTGTTCATCTTCTGCATATTATAAAAATTTTTAAAATTAGAACAATTGCTCATTTAATTCCTTTAGTATTCGAGAAATTTTAAATATTTAAACGTAATTAAAACTGGAAAGGGACATTTATGCATTTCATTCTTCAATTACAGTCAAAAGTCTTTAATCCGGACCCCGGAATGATCTATAATCTGGACCTCAAAGCTACAAGCTTTCTGCGCATACGTAAACGCATAATACGTTTATGCATGCGCATAATACCTTTACGCATGTGCATAATACCTTTACACCTGCGCATTTAATATATAACGGAAGGTATAAGCTAAGCTAAAAATATCTAGTTATCTATTTAAGTTAATGTTGTAGATTGTGTTGTTCCTTAATCTTCTAATGGATCCGGCTTTTATTTTTACAGACTGTTAGAGCATTTTAGAAATTAAGCTGAACTTCAATGATGTCAAAATTTCCGATCGAGCTGCAAGACTCAAAGCGAAATCATTTTCGATGTCCACAAACAAAAGTGGAATTGCTGCAAAACTGGATAAGCATATCCTTTGTTTCTCTAACCATTCGAAATCTTTTAGCAATTTCCGCTGCTTGACGTTGTCGCGCAGTGAATTGGAAGTTGATCTATCCTTATTCAGGGAGAGTTTTTATTTTATCGCTTCTAATGTAGATTTCATCTCATGTCTCATCTTTGATATTATTAACTGAAATTCTCGTCATTATAAATACCAAATACAATCAGCAGTTTTCTGTTGCAATTTCAATTCGACTATGCGTAATTATGCTTTACAGCGTGCGTTGAAAGAATGTTTAATAAAGTAACATAATATTAGCTTTTTTTTTTTTTTTTTGAATTTTGTACCCTTTGATGATAATTGCTCTTTATTTATAACTTCGTTTATATTTTTATTTATAATGTCTGCATGCATCTACCATTAAATTGATATCTATAACCGGACGAAATCGATCGCGAAAGCCAACGAATCTGATTAAGACTTTGACTGTATTGTTAATTATGTATTTGTTGTAATATTACTTAAAAGCAAAGAATTCTTATTAAAAAAATAAAAGAGATATCAACATATTTTATTTTCTTAGCTATTGATCTTTTTGATATACTTCCAATTATAAATTTTATCTGAAAAAGTGTAAAATAATGAGAGTGCACTTTTAGCTTACAATGTATTATAGAAAGATTTATTTAGATTATAGAAACTGTTTATTTATAAATCATAGAATGTATTATATTACAGAGAAGTGCAATGCGGGCATAGTTCTATTTTTATATGTCTATCCAAAGTGTTGCCAATTACAAGTTACTAAATATTACATCTTTATTTTTTTAAAGAGTGCAATTTTTTTTTTTTTTTAAACCGTCCAAAATCAGTCTAAATACCTGGCTGGCTTTCTAATCAGTCTCCCATTTCTTGTTCTTTGCTCCCCATCCCTTGTTTCTGAGTTAGCAGAATTTTGTAGTTGATCTTCTAAAATTTGCCCTTGACAATATTTGGAATCATATCCTTTTACATCTGTTTTCTGTGCGTTAACTCCTTGTTCTATTCCTCTGATATTCTCTTCAACAGCTGAACTGTTTTCTCTAATTCTTTCTATTTATTCTCATATGATCCACCGATATGAGTATATTCATCTAGAGTCATGTAAAAAATATGTTATAATTATATATGATGAACCTAGTAATATATATAATAGTCAAAAGTGTTTTCGACACCCATAATCGGACTTAAGCTAAAAACTTTGCGCAGCGGCTGCGTGACAATGCGGTAGGCATTACGCATGCCGTAAGACCTTTACGAATGCGCCTATGCGTGTGCGCAAATGCAGAATTTTTGCGTGCGCGTTTAGTATAACGGACGGTAAAAGCTAAATAATCTAAGTATTATTAAGTAATGTTGATGAGTGCGTTGTTCCTTAATTTCGAATGGATCCGGGTATTTTTTGAGACTTCAGAGCATTTTAAAAGGGAAACTTGAACTTTCGATTTGAATTCGATGTTGGAGCTCCCAAAGGATCTAAAACAAGATTTTCGTGTCCATCCAACAAAAAGTGAAATGCTGCAAAAATGGATAAAAGACATGAAGAAGGTGACGAGAGGTGGTGAAAACAAAAAAATTCGATTTGACACGTTAGTGGTATTCCAGCACAGCAATACGGGACTTAACAGATGGAACTTGTAACTGAACAAAATTGTCTTTTATAGAATAAGAGAAGTATTATCACATAAAACGAAGCAACTTCTGAACACTACATTGAAAGAAATGTTGTAATAAGTAACAAATAAAATGAAGCTTTTTTTTAAATTTGATACGTTAGATCATAATTCTTTATTTATAAATTATGTTTCAGATTTTTATTTATAATTCTGCATGCCAATTAATTAAATGATGATATATAATTGAATCGCCAAAGTCCGACGAGTCGGATTAACGACTTTGATGTAATAATATATATATGGCAAATATTACAGTTGAAACTGATCATCGACCATTAGAAAGCATAACTAAGAAAACCTCTTTTTAAAGCACCACAGCGATTGCAAAGAATGCTGTTAAATTTACAAAAATATGATCTAGATGTACGATACAAAAAGGGGAAAGACTTATTAATAGCAGACACTTTGAGTAGAGCAAATTTGAATACAACAGAAGATAATGATGAAGATACAGAAATTTGTACACTGATTCCAGCATCTGATGACAAAATTTATGCATTGAAGAAAGAAAGTGAATGTGATGCTACACTACAGTGCTTAAAGAAATATATTCTGAGAGGCTGGCCAGAAAGGAAACATCAGGTAGAACCTCAAGTCAAAGTATTTTGGGACTACAGAGATGAGTTGACAATGGAAAATGACTTATTTTTCAAAGGAGGAAGGGTAATTATTCCTTTATCTATGCAAAAGGAAATGTTAAATTTATTTCATGAGGGTCATTTTGGATAGAAAATTGTAAGAAAAGAACTAGAGATGACATCAAATAGTTTTCTGGTAAATTTCTAGCACTGCTTGGGGCTTTAGACGTGTGGTGAAAGAATGTTTATAAAGTAACTAAATATTAAGCTTTTTTTTTTTTTTTTTTAAATTTGATACCTTAAGTATAATGCTCTTTTTTCAAAATTACGTTTCATATTATTTTTTAATTTGCATGCCATTTACAGATTTAAACTGATGATCTACAATCCGGAAAACAGATAATCCGGATTCGCGAAGTCTCACGAGTTGGATTAAGACTTTGACTTTTGTTTAATATGTATTTGTTGTAATATTATAAAGCAAAGATTCTATTAAAAAATAAAAGAGATATCAACATATTTTATTTTCTTAGCTATGATCTTTTGAATATTCAATTTAAATTTATCTGAATAAGTGTAAAAAATAGAGGCACTTTAGCTTACAATGTATTAAGAAAGAGATTTAGTTTAGAAACTGTTTATTTATAATCATAGAGTATAATTACAGAGAGTGCAATGGGGATAGTTCTATTTTATATTATCCAAAGTGTTGCCAATTACAAGTACTAAATATTAATGTTACCATTTTAAAAATTTTTTTTTTTTTTTTTTTTTTTTTTTAAACAGTCTAAAATCAGTCCAAATACCTGGCCGGCTTTCTAATCAGTCTCCCACTTCTAGTTCTTAGCTCACCGTTCCTTGTTTCTGAGTTAGCAGAGTTTGGTAGTTGATCTTCTAAACTTTGCCCTTGAGAATATCTGGAATCATATCCTTTTACATCTGTTTTCTGTGTATTAACTCCTTGTTCTGTTCCTCTGATATTCTCATCAACAGCTGAACTGTTTTCTCTCTAATATCTTTTCTATTTCTTCTCAATACTGATCCACCTGATCTAAGTATATATG